AGGTACAAACAAAAGCTGTTAATGGCTGGAAGCTTCGTACTAATTTGTCGTAGTTTGTCATTGTATTTTTCTTTAATAGCATCGCGCAGATTAGTCCCTGTCTCAAGGCCCTATTCATGGCTAGACTTTTATCATGATAAGACTAGGTAGCTTATAGTACAACTGTATCTATTGGTCAAGATTTGAGACACTGTCTGGCTATAAAACTTCTGCTATTTCACACCTGGTCGTTATTCATCTAGCTTGCACGAAAACAAACAGTTACAGTAATTTTGTTACCCGCCCTCCCTCTTTTTTGAAGAGTTTTGTTGTGTTGTTTAAAGATAAGAGCAGGTAAAACGCGTAAGCCTATCAAATCATTATCGAACAAAAAATGATTCGATAAAGAATGTCGTTTGAAAAGGCATGAATTACGAAAACTAGCATACAAGGAACATCAAGACCCTTTGAATACTACCATACGTGAGCAATACAATGATACTCTGGCCCAATACAAGTAATTACTTAATTCTAAAAAGAATCATTATTACAATGCAAAGATTTCCGAGCTAGAAAAAACTGCAGACAATTCAGACGCGAAAACTTTCTGGCAATGCCTCAAATCGATGGACGACACTAGAAAAGGAGAGGATGTTCCATCAATCTCGGAAAAAAATTGGCTACAATCTTTCCACAATCTTTATTCAAATGAACCTCTTAACCCAGCGCAGCAAAACATTTGCAATGAGCTACAACAAAATGAATGTCATGGTCAACACTCTCGTCCTTTAGATTTCATGATAACTGAAAGAGAAATACGTAAAGATGCGAAAAAGTTAAAGAATTAAATAAATCACCATTTTCGGATAAAATTAGAAATACATGAAATGATAAAAGCTAGTATTAACACACTGATGCCCGTATATGAAAAATTATTTAATTCAATTCTTAACCAAGGGACCATGCCACAGACTTGGTGTGGTGGTCTTATTACTCCCATTTATAAATCGGGCTGACGAGGCGATCCGGCAAACTACCGGGGTATCTGTGTCTCCAGCTGCCTGGGAAAACTATTTTGTTCTATCTTAAACCAACGACTTCTCGAGTATATCGTTTCTTTGAATATACTCCACAAATCTCAAATTGGCTTTTTACCGAANCTCCCATTTATAAATCGGGCTGACGAGGCGATCCGGCAAACTACCGGGGTATCTGTGTCTCCAGCTGCCTGGGAAAACTATTTTGTTCTATCTTAAACCAACGACTTCTCGAGTATATCGTTTCTTTGAATATACTCCACAAATCTCAAATTGGCTTTTTACCGAATAACCGCACAGCAGACCACGTCTTCACTCTCCGAACCTTGATAGATAAGTAGGTTCATAATCACAAGGAAAAGGTCTATGCTTGTTTTGTATATTTCAAAAAAGCTTTTGACTCGGTCTGGCATGACGGGCTCTCGAATAAGTTGCTGCAATTGATGTGGGTGGTTCTTTTTATAACTTAACTAAAAGCTTATATCACAACCCTTCCTGCTCAATTAAAATTGCTCAACAACAAACGCGATCATTCCGTTATGGGAGAGGTGTGCGGCAAGGCTGTATCTTAAGTCCACAACTTTTTAATCTTTTTAAACGATACCTTTCATGATGAGGGTCGCATGCAAAAAGTTGTCGGAGTTGAACGTCCTTGATATTAACTATACATGATTTAAATTCACTTTCAACCAAACAACCACACAGACAAACGTTGCTCTAGCATTTTGATATTGGTATAAAAAAAGGCTCGTTTACAACATGGAGTTAAATGAAATAGTTGACATATTTACAGACCCACATTTACAATTAAAGCAAAAGCACTGATAAGTGATAAACAAACTACGGTAAAGGAACAGCGTTAACTTTGGAAAAATTGATTGTCTTAATAAGAGGTGAGTGACAGGTGTCACTATTGCAGGCCAGGAAATCCCCAACAGTCAAGGCCAAACTAGTAAAAAACACAGAAAGAAAATCAACTTCCAACTTAGACACTTTGACCACAACGTAAACTTATTTTTCAAAGTAATGTCAAGTAAGGCTTAAGATAATATTTTAGTCTAAATTCCCCTTCGCTAAGCTTTACCAATTATTAAAAGGTTTTTCATTTGGCGCAGAGGATAACCTGCTGAAAGTACAGTTTGTGGTTCTATACGGTATGTAAATAGCCTGAGAAAAAGCTCTCCATTTGGGGAAAAAAGGACACGGTTGAATAACCTTTTTTGTTTTGCATTAACTGATTACTACTTACAATATTAAATTACAAGATTATATAAAATTGTTCTGTGATAATATACACGTACAATGTTCATGATTAATTTGTTACCATCATATGTCGTGTTTTTCTTTAAAATCCATAATCAGCTCTGGAGTATATTAGCCAGGTCCAAGTTGTTCAAACGGAGGTTAACGTTATTCACCGGATAAATCTCTATCCACTGGATAGCGCAATTGGTTTCCCTAATATTTATCCACTGGATAGTGATTTATCCGGTGGATAGCGCTCTCCAACTTTTGAACAACTAGGGGCCATAGTTGAATCTCAGCTTCGTGGTAAGCTTAATATTCCCGGGGGGGGGGGGGGGGGGGGGGAGCCCCACATACAAATTGGTGTGGGGGTGGGGGTTCCGTTTTGGGGTGGAATTTTGGGGTTTTTGCTTCCCTTGGGGGTTTTGGGGGCAGCCCGCATCTCTTTGTGCGT